CGTAAGCGCCCTTTTCAGCGACCTTTTCGTCGCTCTGATTAATGGTGACTCATGTCTCGGAAGTTAGTTACATACGCAATGGCTGCTTTCATATTTTACTTCTTGTTAGAAAAAAGAATGGGGGAGATTTTGGATGCGTTTTGGCTTTCGATTGTGATGTATTGTGTTACAGACACGTGTACATGTACTTTCAAAACCTGAAAGCAGCCAATGCGCATGTAACTAACTTTCAACTTCCGAGACGAATGTCAAAAGCGACGATCGGTGACTGGCTTAACGGCGACCCGCGACTTTCACAATACGAGAGTCGCCGTTAAGCCAGAGCGACGAAAAGGTTGCCGAAAAAGGCACCAACATCGTAAAGTAATCGACGCCCTTTTCGTCGTGCTGGCTTACGACTCTTGTGTTGAGAAAGTCTCGTGTTGTATCTAGACAGACGACGATCTAAATGGCCGCTTTCAGCAACCATAAGGAAAGTATGAGAGTCGGCGCCCGCAAAATCGTTGATGTCTGACACCAAAGTCTTGAGGTATACCTAAATTCGACAGAAAAAAAACAAACACCTGAACGTTATCTGCACCCAGAATCAATATCCCTTAAGCGAGAAACGACGTGTTTCTGATAATACCTGCTTTAATAGATAGTGTACCGCGGCGTTTATGTTATCTGAATTGGAAGGTTAACACATTTATAAACCTAATTTTAAACTTTTAACAGTACAGATCTCGAGCCATTAATGCCAGCATTGAGCGTCTGAACGGGGTGTGACTTGTCGGTTATTTGTATAGATTATCATACTTGTTATCTATCTAATCGTCAATGCAGCGATTTAACCCAAGGTTAGGATATTAATCTCACCTGCTTGCAGGTGCATAACACAGATTGCAATACCCTTTCCCTGTAACGTCTTGAGTGCTGTTTATATTTTTGCTAAAGAAAAAAAGGATTATGCGTTATGAAGGTTTATCACATGCTTTAGATTAGATAGGGAACCGCTCAAATTCTGCAGTTGAGCGAATAAGATAGTCAGTCCAGGACTTGTAGTATAAAAAACCTAAAACAAATTGCTAACCAAGATTTTTTTTTTACCATCAAATTTTTAAATTATACTGTGACAAATCGGATTTAAAATAAGGTTATGGTTTATTCAGTATTAATTTATCGTCAAGAATGACCACCTTAATTTTAATGACGCCAGTTTTGATTTTAAGCCCGACCTTGGTAGTCCGACAGTCAGAACATAATTCTAAATAAGAATAAAAATTGGTAACCAATATTCTAGTATATTGTCTTGACAACAGCTGATTATCCTGACCTTAACGTAATGTGCGACATAAAAGATCGGTACTTCAGGACTGTTGGTATCTAAACTGCTAGTACAAGACTGCTTTCAGATTTCTGGTAGTTCACAAATAGATTAAGAAGCCCACCGACCTGTCTCAATTTGGCTTTTTATAATTTGTTACCCATTGTGATCCAATACTTTGGATTACCCTCATTTTCCCGGTTGGTGGAAAAAGTACGACGTCAAACTCCATTTCATTTCGTTTCATTTTGTATTATGTGTGGAAAACAATAAATTAACTGTATATTTTCTGTTATTTCTAATGAAGTTAATGATCGCCATTTCACGGCTTAATGTATGCTAAAAACGTACTTAATAAACTGATTATTTACAATTTATAAATAATTAAGAAAGCAGAACCAAAATATCATTGGGGGATGTTCTTCCGACTTGGATTCAGTCGGATTAAAATAGCCCAATAAAACGTTATGTGGTGCTGGCTGGTTTATATTGTCTGTCGAAGGTTGTGAAATATCTCTGAAAATAATGAACAGTATTGAAAAATTTCGGACCAATATTCCTTTTAGAGATTCAACTTTGTCATTGGCAAGGAATTCAAAATCGCTCAAATGACGATCAAAGTCTTTTACAGAGAAAGTGTACTGTAAATACGTCTGAGCGAGCCTCAGTCCAAATGGGATGAGACAATGTGTTTGGAAAATGGTTTGGTTTTAACATGTCACTAACAGATTCATTGATAATACAGTGAATTGATAATTTAAAATTTAATTAAGAAAGCCAAACTGTAAGAAATCTGGCTAGGATTTAATCGGATTAAAAACTATGTTACTTAACCGGTGACGCTAGCTTTATATCATAGAATGATGTATGTTGCATAATTGAACCATTTTTAGACTGGCTTTCATTTTAGAGATTTAACTTTGTCATTTTAAAGTGATTCAAAATCCTCCAAATGACGATCACTGGCTTTAATTCTTTTAATTTACAGTCTTATATTTGTTTAAACAAAAAAAAATTTCGGGCTAGATTTAATCTCATAAAAATTAAAGATTATTAAAACCCTTACCGTGGTGGGTGAATGACTGGGGATAATTTGAACTTGATGTTAAAAGTGTGGAATGTACAGATCTAAATACCTCATCGTCAAACCTGCAGGTGTGGAACGTCACACAATGCACGGTGTTAAATTCTGCACATGGTATTCATAAGAAATGTTAACCACAAGTAATGTTCAGACACCCTTTTCAAGCAAAATCATATAGGACATTCAGAAGATAAGCTGGCCAAATAGATCAGTACAGTTCCTCAAAATTGTTTAATGGAACAAGGAGATTTTACTAGATGCACATTATTGTTGTTATATTAAAACCATAATTGTGGACACAGAACTGTGTGGTTCATCATTGCTTGAAATAAAGTACGTATCTCCGGAGATAGCATTATATACTTGTGAAATTCTTGGCATTTTAAAAACTCCAAAGGTCTATCTCCATTTTCATATTCCCAGATCCTCTACATCAAAGCATTCTACCATGGGTAATATTGTATAGTATGTCAGCCTTCAATGCTAAAAACTTTCTCAAACATAAATATCTGAAAAAAATGTTTAAAATAGAAAGTTATGTTTAAGCCAATTTTTAAATCCCGTTTTCCCCATTTTGTAAAATATGAAGAAAGACCCAGTTAATCGTTGAGATGTAGAGTTCACGTATTCGCGGAACCCCATCGATGTCTTGCAAGACATGCTGATTTACCAAGGAATTATGCAGTGCATATCGTAATTATCTGGTAGATTCTGGTTATCCCATTTGCTGGTTATACTATAATCAGAACACAGAAAAGTGAATATTTTCGCTCAGTGTACCCGATACGTTTTAGACAAACGATTAGTTCTAACAGAAGACTTGATCCCGACCTTTAAGATATTACGTGTAAGTAGATCTTAAGTTGTATGTACTCCTTATGCTTCAAAAGAGTGCTGCTGTTACGCCTGTGATGCCGAGTCTATCTTCTCCCTGCCCAGTAGCTTAATCAGCTTCTAACATACCCGCCACAGAACATTGCGTCAGATAACACGTGTCGTACACTAGGCTTGGTATGTTTCTAGATTACAGTAGCGAATTGCGTCTGAAAACCGTCCCGTGCTTACTTCACCTAATGGGGTTGCCACGTTATTTATTGGGGTTTGTTTTGTAAACCAGCTTTCCCTCCCCACTGGTTTGCCACTGCTAATAGATATATATTTAATATTCTGCTGTATTTAACTCATACAATTACATTGGCATTTATGAGTTAAGCTAGCTATATAGTGTTGTGATTGTTCAAGCTTAAGACATAATCAGTATAAAGCCGTGACTAAACTACTGTAGTCGCTTGTCGTATTGTTGGATTTGTTTGTCGAGGCGTGATATATCAGTTAATAACTACCCGTTGATTGACCAGTTTAAACCATAGGTCAACACCTGTATTTACTTTCTTCAGATATATTCAATATATAAACTACTATGGTTTATAGGCGAGGTAATACCTCTAGTCCGACACCCGTTATTTCAAAAATTAAATATTATCGGCTGTTCTAGAAAGAAATGAAATGAAAGGCGGGTTAACGTCCTAGTGTGCTATGAGGGAAACCCCGGACAGCGGCGCTACGGGCTACTCTTATATCGAATTTCAACCGTCAAGGGATCTTTTACATGTACGCCAATGTGTACATGGGACCTAGGTTTTTCGTCCCATCCGAACGACTATACGTTGTCCCTTGCCAGGCCCTCGGCCATACACCACTCACAAGAGGCAACCACGCCGATGAACTTTCCCGGCCATCGCATGGATCGAACACGGAGCCTCCAGGTTAGCGAACCAACCTCTTGTTCACTGAGCCACCGTGGCTCCCTTGTTTCAGAAAGATTATGAGAAGCTTTAATTGCAATGGAGTCGAATGAGGTTAACATTCTATTATACACAAACCTGGCTGATGAAGACGTATGCTGTGAGGTATTTTTTTCCCGAACAGCAACCTCAATTCATTTCATTTCATTTCCAACTATTAAGGTTTTTTTTTACATGCACGCCAATGTGTACACTGGACCTCGGTGTTTCGTTCCGTCTGAACGACCATACACTTTCTCTTGTCAGACCCTATGTCCTACACTATTGACGAGGTTAAACCATGTCGAAAAAATCACTAGGAACTTTCTAGGTCAACACCGGGATACCTCCTAGTTAGGCAGCCAGCGCCTTAATCACTGAGCCACCACGGCTCCAATATTAATTCTAAAGTGTAAGTGGGCCGTTAAAGTGCTGCCAATGATATACACGGTACCCCGGGTTTTGGTCTCACCCGAACGACTAGACTCCCAAACGTTAAAGCCCATTTCAGTTCATTTCATTTCAACAAAACATTGTAAGCTTTAGCTAATTGAACTCCTCAAATGAGTATATCAATATGCTGTAAAACAGTATGGATAATATTGAGTTAGAGCTGTATTCCATTTAAAGGTTGATAAATAAAGACAAATCATTTTGACTTTTATTAAATGAAGACAAATCATTTAATTTTTGACTTTTATTAAATGATGACAAATCATTTTGATTTTCATTAAATGAAGACCGATCATTTTGGCTTTCATAAACTCATTGCCACTTTAGACGTCATATCTGTAAAATTATTCAATAAGATTTTATAATTTTTCAGATACAGGAGGATCAAAATGTTTACGTGAAAAGGAAGAAGCTCGGGCAGCCATTGAACGGAAGAAGAATGAAGTATTTGAACCCGCTTGTAATGAAGATGGCACATTTGCAGAAGTTCAATGTCATTCTGAAACCGGTTACTGTTGGTGTTTTACTAAAGATGGGCGGCACGTCCCCGGTACTTCTGTTAGTGGCAAACGACCAAGATGCCGTGGTAAGTTTGGGATGCTAATCATTGTATTTAATTCAATTTGAAAACACATATTAACGCTAGTACGATCAGACAGTGGTGTACCAAACACAGTCTAATGCAGTACGTATAACCACAATGGCGTACCAAGTGTTTAAACCGACCGGTTCAGGTCTTGAATTTGGCGTCCCCATCGCCCCAATTCCTACGTAAAACATTACATAATACACATGAAACATACATAAATTGTTAAACATACTGTGGAAAATAAAATAATGTCAGGCGTGTTGTGTCCATCTACTGTAGTAAACTAATAGTGCCTTGCTGGATAATCATTATCATACTACAAACTCTGGTAGTCGAAATCTTAGAGAATTGAATACCCAGTGTCTATAAAAAATGTATAAACAATTAACATATCAAATCTATAGGACATCTTTTATGTTTTAACCATTTCCTTTTATTTATTAGAGAAAATCGTATTTATTGCTGTGGGTAGTCTGGTTTACTCATTCTATGTAAAAGATGAAACAACAAACTTCATACGTTTATCGGTGTAAATCAAACGTATAAATATATATATATAAAAAACAAAATTCTTTTAAGAATATTATCAATTCTTGTGATTTCTAACTTCTTTCAGCACATTCGTCTGGCAAATGAATCAAGCCTTGAAAAAGTTTTTTAAACAGATCTTTTGGTACTTCAAGTTGAAAATTTTACGTTCTGATCAAGTTGTTATCAATGTTCTTCCTTTGCCCCCGTGTTATTACAACCGACTCGATCATCATAGCGATAAAATCCGTTTTACCCGTTAGCCCCGATATTATCTTAAAGATTTGAACTTGTAGAGTACTTTGTTGTCGGTGTGAAATGATTATACAAGACGTTAAAACAGGTGTTATATTGCCGCCGACTTTTACCACAGAATTCCAACACGAAAAGATAACAAATCCACCTTTCTTATCCTTTTAGATTGAAGAGTAAGGACAGGGGAATAATAACTGGGGGGTAAAATGAAGGGTTATTTGTTTATAAAAGAGTTGAACTGTTAACATGTGTAATTATTTTATTACATACAAACAGGAAGCATATGGTAGAAGAATGTTATTAATGCTCTAGATAGAAACCTTACTTTATAGAACACACATCTCTTTTATTGTACAAGGGTGGTTGTGTGGCCGAGTGGTCAATAGCCAGCGCTTTATATCATAAGGTCTGTCGTTTACTCAAGTGGCGTAGTTTCGATCCCAAGTAGTAGAGAGTTGCCTGACTAACCTCTTGGATTTTCTCCGGATATCCCGGTTTCCTCCCACTACTACAGAACCTTACCCCAAGCGATGTTACCTCTCTCTCTCTCTCTCTCTCTCTCTCTCTCTCACACACACACACACACACACATACCTGTATCTCCATTTCACTATATAAGCCATCTGTAACTACAGGTAGCCCAAGGTTGTCCCGTTGTCTCTATATATGCCATGTTAATCGTAACTGAAATTTCAGGTAAAAGACGAAAAAGAAAGCAAAAGGGGAGATCTCGGAAAAGAAAAGGTAATCCAAAGAACCGTATGTTTTTTCACAATTTCAAAACTATGTGCTTCTACTTCTAATCAGTTCTAATCTGTATACATTACTCATTTGATGTTTTTAGTTGAATATATTTGGCAAAGAAAGATTAATTGTTCAAAGCAATACGGTTAATTATGATGAAAAGTAATATTATTTATTTTTAGCCTGTAATAGAACAGATCGTCAATCTTTTAATAGTGATCTAGTTCGTGTTTTTAGTGATGAATACAAAAGATGGATGACAGCTCAACCAACAACATTGTCAAGTAAATAGTTCCTTTTCATTTTAAATGATCGTTCTGTGGTTATTTCGTTAGTGTTCCATTAGCTTACCAACCGAGTTTGAAATCGGGTTTGAAATCGGTATAGGAGGAGAGAGATTTTCGAATCTGCGCCCCCCCCCCCCCCAAGTCGGAGGGCCAGGTGAAGGGCCTGGCAAGGAACAGCATTTATTCGTCCCTATGGTGCTAAAAACCGAGCTACCATGTACCCTCATATCACACTGCATTGTTAAACATTTCATTTTTTAAAATCATTCTGAAAAATATTTCTGGAGTTTTCACTCTCACAGTACATTCTCTTTTGTCAAGCTTATAGTACTCACAGTTCATGATGGTGTTGAATTGATGGTAACCCCTGTCGTCTCCTGAAGAATACGTTACTGATATAACGTCATATCCGGTGTGGCAATATTTACAGATTCAGTTTCGTCAACTAAAGCAGCAGATGGCCATTTGTATTTGGCTCACAATAAATTTCATGGTTTAATCCACGCTAAAATGTATCCAGATTGCTTAGTTAACATTTAAAACAGATTGAAACGAGGCCCACTCCGATAGTTTGCCAAACAATTGGTGATGTCTTGTTTGTATCGTGTCCAGAGAATACCGATTGTAGAAAACTTTGCATATCTTTATTGAACCATTTACGAATTGATAACCCTTTTCCTGATTCAACTTTAACCCCTTTCCTGATTCAACTTTAACCCCTTTCCTGATTCAACTTTTCCATTATTGTTTTTCTCAAGTTATTCAAAATTTCTCAGATGACGACCAGCGTCTTTAAATCATAGTTGACAGATAATTTGTGTGACCGTTTCTCTCATCAGGTAAAGCAGCGGAAAAAGTGGACGATATAGAAAGACAGAGAAAAATAGTGGATTGGAAATTTTCAGAATTAGACAGAGACAATGATGGAGTTTTAAAATTTAAAGAAATTCGATCTTTTGCGCGAATGGTGCGAAAACTTATAAAACCTAGAAGTTGTGCTAAACGTTTTTTAAAATATTGTGACAGTAGCGGTAATAAGAAAATAGAAAAAAGTGAATGGACACTTTGTCTCGGTGTGGAATTCAAATGTAAGTATTGCATCTGGTGGATCATAATCATCATGATACTCATTATTTCATGACGTATGTACGTACCTACGTAATTGTTATTTGCATGTGAGGTTTACTCAAAATTCCATAATTTTGCTGCTATTTTTAAAACTTGTATGCGGTAAATATATTTGGTTTTTATTGGTGTTATTCAGCAAGATTTGAACCTTATTCAAAAATATGCATTCGCATGAAGATCGCTTTTTGATAATTTTGTATATATTTTTTTTTATTTTTGACTGCAGACGATTTATTTATATTTATATTATGTATATATAATTCGTTTGTTTTTTACTCATACCTTTCCTATTTCCATCATTTTATCCTTGCATGGACTTTTACCGTGTTTCTAGAGTAGGCGATCTCTACTGCTAAGAAATAACTTTGGAAAAATTTAAATTTTAATGTTTCGCAATTTTTTATTAAACATCATTTCATGTATCTTCTAATATACTTTATTTGTGGTGCTTATCTATTTTCATTTCTCTCTCTCCTTTTTTTTCTCAATATATATTATAGCCTTATAGAACTTGCTTCAAGTAACAGATCAGAAACAAACGAATTATATTAAATGTGATCTTATATATAAACCTCTGGTAGTAACGTAAAGGAGCTGAACCTCTTTGATTTTTGGTTAATCTAAGGTATTAGTTTGATAATGCGGAGTCATGCTTTGTTCTAAAGGATTAAGCGGTATTTTAATTTCCCTTTCTGCTTAACTGAGTCGACAGTGGAACACAAAATCTCTGTTATTTCCCCACGAAGACAGAATATCATGCAAAAATACAAGACAACATTGTTAACTAATAAAAAGTGGTATTAGAAAGTGTTAGATACCTTTTGCGCGATACCCTTCACTAGCTAACTGGAGAGATGGTTCGATTTGGATTTCTGAAGTCAAAATTTACATTGTAGAACATAACTCCGGGGCCAAAACAAATCAACAACGAATAAAATCGACATTTTTTTCGACCCATATCAAAGAGGTTTAGCCATTTTAGTTACATTTCGCTGACAAAATATTATGCAGGGAATATTAATAGTATTTTCACATCTATAATCCCAGTACTACTCTTTTTATTGCCTTTTGGTATATTTTGAGGTAAATTTTTGTAGCGAAATGTTAAGTTTAGAGGCTATTTTAGTAAACGAAATTCTTTTTGCATATGATTGACAACTGGGCAACATAATGCATATTAAAGACACAACAAGCCCAATCGTTTACATAAACTTCAAAAGTCAAAATTATGTACTATATTAACCTAAAGGCTGTTGTTATTATGTATTTAAGCAAAGTCGAGTATAAAAATTATTCATGAAAAATAGGCAGAATTAATATTATTTCATCTGTCAAGACAAATTAAATGAATTGTCAGACCAAAGTGTTACTTCTAAAAAGTAATTTTTTCGTCTTAATCTTTATTATGGGGCTTTAAATATCAAGAAATAGCCATACAGAACAACCCTTTTTGTCTGAAGGTGAAATTAAGGTAGCCTCTACCTTTTCGTCTTAATCTTTATTATGGGGCTTTAAATATCAAGAAATAGCCATACAGAACAACCATTTTTGTCTGAAGGTGAAATTAAGGTAGCCTCTAAATTTAATTTATGTACAAACCATTTAGTGGAGTAGTTTTAGATTTGGTAGTAGGTTTCTCTTTTAGTTATCATTTTCCTTACACGAGCTTATATAAATACATTTGCCTTTTTCTCTCCAAATTTCTTCTATTCGCGGTTCCTTTCTGGTGGCTGAATAATCTCAACAGCTTCGGTGATGGATTTTCTTTGGCTTTATTTAAAACCTTTATTTGAACGTTTTGGTGAAAAATTAAATTACAAAAACGCTCAAAATTCTGCGCTTTTTCTGTTACTTTTCCGAATTTAAATTTCAGAATCGTCAAATATTATACTTATTTTATGCTGCATCAAAAGAAACATTTTTGGCACTGTGTTTCTTTAAGAAAAATCCGCCATCTGTCTTTATTGACAAATTTTTATATCAGTCTTTAGAAAAATAAATTCGATGCAGGCACGAAATATTTTGACGAAACTAAAGCACGGCAGACCGGGTGACGTGTTGTGTTAATACATGATAACTGAACGAGGAAATATCCCCCAACCCTTTTATTATAGTCTCATTCCAATTGTTCGTATCTCTGAACTCAGATGGACAACCAGAAGATTCAGCATTAGATAATGGCAGAAGTGAAGGTAGAATGGGTTTGTTACTATTATTTTTTTACCTCTTAATAAAATAATTGGTCCAATTTGCAATATTTTGCCCCATCACTGCACTAACGGAATGCGCATTTCGAATTTTTGCTGTTTTTCTGAATAGCTATGCTCTGATGGATCTCTCGTTATAAACCTAACTTTTTGATCTCATGAGCGTTAATTTTTAAAACAATGTTTTGTTTTACAAATTGAAACTTGATTCGATATTGAAACGTTGATTACACATTGAATTTTTGGTTACAAATTGAAACTTTGATTACACATTGAAACTTTGATTACACATTGAAACTTTGATTACACATTGAAACTTTGGTTACAAATTGAAACTTTGATAACAAATTGAAACTTTGATAACACTTTGAAGCTTTGGTTACAAATTAAAACTTTGATTACAAATTGGACCCATTTTATTCACTGTTGTTGAATATTGGTTGTTTATTGATTTCGTTTTATTTACATGTTAGTTTTAATCGCACCCCTTTAACGTGAACTGTTCAAGACATAAGAACCATTTACGATAATTTATCCATCTTAAAGTAGCTAAACCTCTTTGATTGTGCTGAAAATAAAATATTGGATTGGGTTGATCTGACCTTATATTTCGATGAAAGATTGGACACGCCCCACCAGATTAAATTTTTGATCAGAAAGATTAGGCGAAAGTAGGTTTGTTAAATAATTTTAGTTTATTTTTTGGCTCACTGCGTGGAGCGCAGTCGTCGACAGTGGAACAATAAATCAGTTTTATCTCAGCTCTGGCGCCACAATAGAAGTAAAAATTTCAATAAATTTAAAACATGATAATTTATTTTATTTTACCCGAATCAAAAAGGTTTCGTCATATCAATTAAGCAAAAGTCTCACTGTTAGATAATTACTCTTTAGAAGTTATGCATGAAAAGTAAACGAAGTTTAGTGAATATAAAAGTAATGCCAATATCTTTTTGTTCTTGCTTCCCATGCACCCGATGCACGATCATAATCTTTGTATTGAGTTACTAGTTAAAACGTCGCACCAAAATCATTAACAAAAATTCACCCTTTAGTTGGTATTTTATCATATCAAAGATTTACAACAGAGCAACGTGTCTTTGGGCGAAGCAGTAACCAATCAAATTACACTTATTTTTTTAATAGTGTGTATGTGCTTATGATCATATCAGACATAGTAGAAGTTATGATTAGAATTGCTAAATCATAAAGCGATGACGTGCTGTCATAGGCACAGAATAATTCATGCACTCTAAAAATCCGAAAAGCAACCCCAAAAAATAGACTGTATAACCTGCTCTGAAAAAAAAGAATGCCACCCCCCAACCCCCAAACCCGACTCTTCCCGCCATCCAAAACCGCAGTGGCCTATGGTGAAAGTTATTAATGAAAACAGTTGCTTGGGAGCAGATTTGTTTTAAAAACAAATTGAGGTAAAGGCAACTACCCTTGAATATGCAATCATTTAAACTACAATATTGTTTAGTAATTATCTATAATCAATTGCATGTTGCCTGTCACGAATGCCATCTTTATAGGAATATTGTATATTATTGAATATTGCATCTTATAATAGAATCTTGGTAAATGGTAAAATGCACGTTCGTCACATTCTAATGGAAGGTGGAACTCATAATTTCTATATTTGAAGCGGAAGTTTACAGGCAGAATAAACAAGTAAATAAAAAGAAGGTCGTGAAACCCACCTCTGCTAAGAAAATCTTGAAAGTGTTGATGTCATTCCATGAAAGACGAATCTTTTCAGTAATTATTTTGGGTGTTATGTTTATCACGAAAATTACAAATACCTTCACCATTTATCATCTGAACTCGCGTCAAGTTAGAAACTTTTGAGATGAAAGAAGCAATGTGTTTAGTTATTCTTTTGCTTTGAAGTTTGTACAAACTATGTACAGAATGCTTTCTTTAGCGGTGCTAATCAGTTCAGGTGTTTGATAAGTATGAATAAAATAGATAAATGTAAAAAGTTCTGAGAGTAAGAGTGGGATGATATGAAGGATGTTCAGACATATACAGTCATACTGGAACCACCTGGGTCGGACGAATCACTGATAAGTCATATCCTTCCACACCTGATTAGATCTTAACATGTAAAATATGGCTCTCTGAGAAACCGTTATTCATACAAACTGTCATATTAAATTGATAAGAATAGTTATTTTTTGTTCATTTGTCTGTCTTAAAGGGTATTGGGTACTAATATAATGATTTTAAATATATCTGAGTATGGAAGGAAATTGCATTATATCTTATTAGTTTGACTTTTTGACTAGTCTCGTGTTTATTATTACATTATTGTATCAAGCATTTCTGAATAGAATTTGGGAACAGGATTTACCTATGTGGTTGGATGGCCGATTGGTGTAATGGGCGCGCTTTAGAGCATAAAGCCTGTTATCAATTCAGATTCCATGCTTTTACTGATAAGGAGTTACGTTGCATGCCTAAACTCGTGGGTTCCGAAACGACCCACTTAGTGTTTAATGAGCGCTAAACGCCCATTTCGCTCTTCCCCATCTTGGTTACCTTCTTTGAAAATACAGCGTCCAAATGATGTCATCAGCAAAATCCGATCCGTGATGTCTTGAAATGTTAACGGACAATGCATGAGTCGAAATGTCATCAATTTCAAATCGCGGTCTCCCATTTTGGTTACCTTCTTCGAAAAAAACCCCACCCAAACAATGTCATCAGCAAGTTCCGATCCGCGACATCTTGAAATGTCATTAAATCCAAATCGCGGTATGGCGGTTACATAGCTTAATACATTTTTGCATGTGGAATATTGAACCAGCATGTATTAAGATAGTAATTGAACTACGTAAGATTTTGGAAAAATATTCTTTATAAGTTATTTTTACTTTTATTCTCGCAAAGTAGTTGGCTTTTGCTTTTATTTCCATTTTTAGGGAATTATTCTGTGTCTTTGTCAGGCGTATCACATCTTTCACCTCTACACTTAGACGGTTTTTAGATATATTCTGGTGTTTTCAAGTAAATTTATTATATCTTCAGCTTATTTCATAATATCATTTATATTTATACCATGTGTTGCTATTTTTCTATTATTTTATCTTAAAATCTAAAGTTGATGCACTGCGTCGATCATGGAAGACATCACTGCCTTCGCCATCTTTAAGCCATACAGCGACACCTAGAAAGGAGGACGTGTTTCCCAGGAATGGCTTATCTCCTTTTCTCACGTCCAACAACAATCTCGGTTAGAAACTTTCTGTTCCTCTTTTAGAATCATAGCAGACCCTTTTCATGCTCGGCATAAAATGCCCATCGAAATTTCGAAGTTTTTAATTGGTTATTTGAAATTGTCGTACTTAATAATTATGTTCTTTCCAAGAAATACCAAAACATAAATTTATATTAATAAATAAAAAAAAATTATATGAAAATGGTCTGTTATAATGAGTTTAGATATTATGTTAGATTAGGCCACCAAAATCTACACAACTGCGCTGTTCGTGGCCTTAGCACATTTAGATCTCTACACGAACTGTTTAATAATAGCTATATGAGGAAGGTCTAAGCATTGGTATATAAATAAATATATCATCATTTTTTTATTATTCCTTTTCTGGATATGGGTTCAATAATAATATGCTTGTAAGCCTTTGGTTGGTAGTGTAGCTTTGTACATGCACTAAAATACTAGAAATGTCATTGAAATGCTGTATATATTAGCTTTGTCTAAAAGACGTTAAGATACCTACATGCAATTAAGTGGAGGATGGCGCGAAGTGGCAACACGGACACACTTTATTTTGGAGGGCAGCGCAGTTGAAATTTTGGTTTGGTGGTTTATTAAGTGTCCATTCTGATCCTATTAATTGTTTATGTTGTGTCAATAATTTACATGCCACTGAAGCATAATAGAACAACAAAATATATTGATATCCACAAAAATGGACATATACATATGCATTTAGAAATGCATTTCCCATTAACAAAAAGAGATGAAAACAAAACATGACACCTTTAAAAACAAATAAATACATTCTATCAGAATCTCGAAGTTGCTTAGAGGAACAGAGGGCAGCTCGACTAAGTCATCGAGAAGAACCACAGGCAAATATCTACATCCCTCGGTGTACGGATAATGGTAAATGGGCTAAAGCGCAGTGCCATGAAGCTACACAATATTGTTGGTGCGTTGAGGAAGAGAAAGGCACGCCTATTCCAGGTACCTCAACATTTAAGCAAGAACCAAACTGTACCATGCAAAAGGAACGAGATATGAAAGGTAAACAGTTACAATGTTTGTGCGTGTGTTTCGTGTCCTCAAAATGTATTACGTCAAACTGGGTGTGATAAAGAATATTCCCTATGAGATTCCTAGAATCTTTCTAGAATCTTGTATATGGTCTTTTTAGAAACTTTCGAGAATTCTTGTATCTTGTCTTTCTAGCATCTTTCTAGGATTCATGTGTTGTCTTTCTAGAATTCTTGTACATTTGTAAAATACACCAGGAAAGTTATTTTTGTATTCAAAATTGAGGACCAGCGATAATATGTAAATGAATACCTTTGTTATTTCCAGGTTGTCCTTTCCAAATAAAAAGAAAGTTTTTAATGGATCTAATGTCGGATTTATCCGAGGAAATGGCTAGCATTAGTGGCAATAATAATGTTAATACGTGAGTATAAATCTTTAGTTGACGAGACGCTTCAAGATGCTGCTAAGCATCTACTGTCGTTTTTTCTTGTCTACGCTTTTTGTTTTCGCACACATTTCGTTTTTCGTTTTGAATAATCCAACGAAGCTAGACAAGCCAGTCAGTAATACGTTATATGATTACTGCGAAACGAAATGATTACCGAATGGACAGATAAGCAAGGAGCTTTATTTCGATCAAATTTAGTATATATTATACATCTAAACTTAGGTTTGCGGGACTATTGATTTTCGTGTTATGCTAAGTAATTCGCGGTATTTGAAATTGTATGATAATGCGGTCGCTTGTCTCTTATCATAAATAAAACATTTTGAGTTAGGAGCACACCTGTTCTCAGACATGACGATGTGTATTTATACATAAATATGTTTTTTTTCTATATATATTATAAATGATAGGTATTCATTCCAGGTGCTTTAATAAGTCAATACATGGCCACGCATATTCACAATCACCTTTTATAACATGTATAAATATTATTTGTCAACATGAAAGGTAGTGAAAAGGATTATCCAAAAAGGTCAATGAGTCAATTTGTATTGGAGTAACGGTTTGCACACGTGCATACTTCATATTGAGAAACGGATTTGAGGGGTTGAAGGTGTTTTTTTTTAATAATTGTATGTTTAAAGTCAATCGGTGCAGACATGTTTGTAGTTTAACAGAGAAAATCTCGTAAAACTTCAGTTTCGTCAATAAGCGTAACTACTCATCGAGGCTGATGACCGTGTCCATACCCATTCCCCCATAGCTGTTTAGCTATAAGGAATAAAAGTTTTGAATTCTTTGTATTTTAATATTTTCTTCGCCAATCTCGCCTGTGTGTTAAACATTCTAAGACTGGAAGCACTATTTTGCATGTCCATACTTCAGCTAATATTGCGATTGTGTTTCTTGGTATTAATTAAATTTAATAAGAGACGATATGAAACGCTATGGAGCATGGTTATGAACGATGTTTCGTGATAAAGACAACAGCATAAACGGAGATGATATTATACGTGGTTTGTTGATATTAAAGAAGGGGATATTATTCTTAGATATTACAACAAATTGCATCGTTTCAGTCTCAGAATTGCTCTAGTTTAAAGTCGAGAACCGTACCTTGACTCATATTGCCAGTTTACCAGTTATTACTTCCGAAATGGCATAGTCTGTGTCGAGTGGACTTTAAACCCCATTTCTCTCACCCCTTAATTACCAATGATATTTTGTGTGACTGGAGAGTAAGTGACGAGAAGCACCGGTGATATCGTGTGTGTCTGGATAGTAAGTGACTAGAAGCACCTGTGTTTATTTAAGGGTATATTGTGCGAGTGTCGTCATGTATAAAGATGTGTTCACATGTTAATAGCTGTATGTATGTACGGTGAAACCTGATGGATACAACACGTGTCATTAAACCCCAGACTCAACACTGCACCTGTATCCACTCATCTTTTACATAAATCTACCCTACAACCAGACATCTATTTTCATGGGCGGACCCCGTCGTGAATCGAGAATAAGCTTCGATTCCAAACCGGACTAAAGAAAACAACATTTCTTCCGGGCTGCGGAATTTCCGCATACTCGTCCGAGTTCCAATGGTACTGTTACGTGTACGCCTACGTGTTCACTGAACCTCGCTTTTTCGTACAATTCCAGAGAGAGAGAGAAATGGGGTTTAACGTCCACTCGACACAAACTAGGTCATTTCGGGACTAACACATGGTTCAATTTTATTTCAATCATTCGCTTGCGCGTAGGGGACTTTAGCAGTGGGAGGAAACCGGAGCACCCGCAGAAAACCCACGAGGTTGGACAGGCGACCCTACTCCTTGTCAAGTACAACCGGGGAATCGAAACCTCGCCAGTTGACTCAATGACAGACCGTATGATACAGCGAGCGCGTGCTAACCATTCGGCCCCCTCCCCCCGTACAATTCGAACGACTAGATGCTCTTCTTTTCCGTCACCACTGACAATGTAGAAAATACGCTGGAAAACCCAAGGGACTTTCTCGAAAAAGAGTAAGAGTTAAAGATACATTATGTAAGATTTAGATAAAGAGCTAGCCATTCTTGCTATAATAGTTCGAAAATACATAATGTAAAATGTGAAAATTTCATTCACATTACTCTATTGCGAGCGAAGAAATTAGCCTTTGAAGGTTTGACAAAGCATGTGCAATAATTTCAACCGCCGTACTGGTTGTTCGAAGCTAAGTCTCTTTCCTCCATTTTTAAGTTAAATCAAAATATGACTGAACCGTTCTAATCTATTTAATATCAGAGAAAACCGATGCCATGGAGAGTAGAATATGGCCTGGATCAGTTAATTAATGTCTAATTAATAATTTAGAAAACATTTCAGGCCTAAAGAAAGACCTGCAATGGGCAGATTTAGCTCTTGCATAATGCATGTTTAATATTGGCAGTTATAAATATTGGTAGATTGAATCCTGATATCGCTCCGTTTGTTGGGAGTCAGACGCTGTTTGTACAAATCCACCTCTAAAGAAATGAAATGAAATGAAATGGGGTTTAACGTCCTACTGTTCTGGTTCGACTAGACTAACGAAGACGGACATACATCATACAGTGTGCTATGAGGGAAATTTGCCCGGGCAGCGGCACTTTGGCCTACTCTATATCGAATTCCAACTGCCAAGGGATCTTTTATGTGCACACCAATGTATACACGGGACCTCGGGTTTTCGTCCTATCCGAACGACTAGACAGCTGTCACTGCCAGACTCTACGTCCTGCACCACTGACAAGGGGAAACCACGTCGGAAAATCCGAATGAACTTTCTCGTCCAATGCAGGGATCGAAAACGCGACCTCCAGACTAGCAAGCCAACGTCTTACCCACTTAGTCACCGTGGCCCCACTTCCAAAGAACATGTGTTTCCCAATTACTCTCTACTCATTTAATATTTTGTCTGATAGAGCTCACCATATGCTTGACTCAATATTTCTCCCTCGATGGAAGTGGACGAACGGATCACCATGGCCCAGTTAGTTCAGGGTTCAATCTTTTGAGTTTGTAGCAACGTTACTGAATTGAAATGATGCTACCCGACCTGACCAGCAAACTTATTGCTGAACACAATCTTAATGGTCTTGGCCTATGGCAACTGCATAATAATATACAGGTCACAATTCTATGGAATACAATTACTGCTTTTTACTGAGCGACGTTTCGACTAGGCTTCTCTAGTCATTATCAAGCTATGATAAAAAATGAAAATATGACTGGACAATATATACATGTACACAACAATACTTAGTTAATGCTGACAAACAAGAGATCTCCCTTAATTACGTGTACCTAAAAGGTAATCTAATTTAATAAAGGCTAATAGGAACATTCAATAATACCAATTAACCTAAAAATTGACTAATAGAGAATGATAGAGACTGCGATCTACCTAAGGCAGGAGTTAGGGGAGTGATACTGAAGTGGTCCCAATTTTGTTTCTGCAGCATATCTCATAATTTTGTAGACACACAAACGTATTAGAAATTTCTCTGATTTAATCTGTATGTGCTTCCTCCGAAACAAATTTGACTTAGTGTTTTAGTATACAAGAACATGGGACTTCTTGTTATTATATCATCTACCAACAGCAGCACATGCCAATAGTTTTATATCCTGTATTTCTAGTGTTCCTAATGATACCAGTATACCAATGAGTCAAAGGATAGCCCAATGGAAGGCTTCAAGAGTAAAAGTAGCCGAATGGAAATTATTGTCGTTAGATACAAATAAAAATAAGGTAGGTACTGAACAATCATTTAAGAGTTACCCCCCTTAGATGGTGTCCCAATGGGTATCCGTACGAGAATACGGAAAATGAAAGATGTACTTTTACCACAAAAGGCCTATGTCGGATAACTCTAAAGGACATGGCCTGGGGATACATGCTCTTATTGTATCTTTTGGTTACTAAATTGATGGATTTCTGTAATATCACAGAGGTTAAATCCAACTAATAAGCCCTCTAAATTTCGTAGCAAATAACAATATTATGATTAAATGTAATCATTAAACCAAGGATGTTCTTTTTTCCTTGTGGTCCCTCTTCGTTATTAGTCTATGAAATAGTAAATTCTGCGAACAAGCAAAAAAATAAAACCAACAAGAAAGCCAACAAACGAAATAAAAGGAAATGGGGTTTAAAATCTTACTGTTCTGCTCCGACTGGGCTAATGAAGACGGGCATACGCCATACAGTGTGCTATGCGGGAAGTTTTGCCCGGACAGCGGCGCTACGGCTTAATCTTGTATCGAATTCCAACTGCCAATCGGCCTTCTACGTGCACGCCAATGTGTACACGCGACCTCGGTTTTTCGTTTCGTCCTATCCGCACGGCTGTATGTTTTCCCCTGCTGCCACGTCCTCTGTCCTGCTCCACTGTCAAGGGGCAACCACATCGGAAAGTCCCGATGAACTTTCTCGGCCACCGCAGGTATTAAACGCAGGACCTCCGGGTTAGCGAGCCAATGTCTTACTAAGTGAGCCACAGTGCCCCCCCCCCTCTTCACGCGCAAAACAAAAAGAACTTTCGTAGAAAATCAGATATTGGAGAAGCCCTATTCTTTTTTTTTCTGAACTCCTAATAAAGACCCAACCTACGATCAACTAAAATGACAGAAACGTATCACCAATAACCGGTTTACCAACGACACCATGAATATCCACAAAACTCTCATCAGTACTTTGCTTCTATTAAATTCAATAATTAAAAGCCACGGTTATCTGTTTAATACTACTTACCAGTATCCAACGGCACATACCAGTAATCCACTTATAATATGAAATGGGAGAGCGTGGACATGGTAGACAATTCCTAAATACTAGGAGGAATAAAGACCGTCCCTTCTTTCTCTATAGTATAAATCTCGCAATGGAGGATCTGAAAATAAAACGAGAATGTGTTTTAGATAAAGGACATCGAGAAAGAGAGAGAGAGATAGAAATAGAGTTTAACGCCACTTGACTCAATGATAGACCAACACCTCATGGAGCAAACGATGATCCCATTAGAAAACATCAATATTGGGATTTCACATTAAGAGGGTTTTTATTTTACTTTCCAGGTGTTAGAAAGAAAAGAATGGAAAAAATTCAGAAAATCGAATTTAAAAGCTAAAAAATATCCCAGAAAATGTCGGCGTAATTTTTTGAGATTTTGTGATATGGATAAGAATAAACAAGTAACAATGACAGAATGGAAAGAATGTATGGGTTTAAATCGTAAGTTGAAACTTGGAAGTCGAAAAAAATTCTTAAATAAGCCCGTATTGAAGAATTTGAAACTAGTTGAAATGTGTTGTATATTGTCAGCCAGTACGTCCGTCGTTCGGACCGTCATACACAGTTGTTTTAGAGGCTAATGTGATCGTCCTATTAAGTTAATAGTGTTTCTGTTCAGAAGACCAAAAGGTCTATTGATTTCCAGCGATTTCCCATAAGGTATCTGATTACCGATAGATGTTAGTTTATGTTAGCGCTAGAAATAACTAAAAGCATAATTATTGAATTTAAATTATTTCTGACAATTACCTTGTTGTTGTCCTTGGTCAATCTTTAGTGTCTTCTAAACCTCTCATTACTTACCGGTGAGACAAAGGGACGAAGTATCTGCTGTGGGCTTGGAAAACTTTCTTACATTTTGCGATGGTATAATTTCCCTTATTGGGCGCCGGTGTAACATCCAAAAACACCCCTGCATTGCATTGTCGACTCTCCTGTTGCGATTTGCATAGTTCTGATATACATGTATTTCAAATATGGAAATCCACCTTGGCCGTTGTTGTTTGCCGCCATTCATTATATTTTGTCAATTTCAGAAAACTATTACAACAGTTTACCATCTAATCCTCATAGGACCGGTAAAAATCCTTTTAGTAAGTATCTTCATGACTGAACCAATCAGAGTCCCCATAGGAAAACAGGTGCCGGATAGCCTAATTTGGGTCGGAGGTCATATATCTTACTGTATAGGAAGGAACCAAAGCTTTAAACCTAAATGCAATGGACGTCATTGTATCTGTGTTGTGCCAAAGATAAATTTAAACATTAGTTCGTGGTGTTCTGTGTGCTTGTTTATTTGTTTATTTGTGTCAGTCTGTAAATAAGAAAAAGAAGAATATAATCATAATTATAAAACACATCTTGCATGAAATCTTGTGAGAGTTGACTCCCTTCTTTACACGATTTTTGTTAACCATGATTATATAATTAATTGGTGTTTCAAGAAAACGTTTAATCGTTTTCCATAATTGCATATTTTATTCTCATTCATATATATCGCATTCACGTTTTTTTTTATGGTTAGTTTCGAATCTATTTTCTACGAAACCAACAGTGGTGGTTTTGGAGGCAAACATCGTTTTATTGTGGAAATAGCGAAACATGAATTTTTAAATTTGAAATAAAGTATTATCCGGCTTAGCTTTTAAGGATTATACAGCTGTGATTACCACTGTGGATGTGTGTAAGTAATTCTATACACTCGTTCGCCTAAAAAAAATCGGGACGATTCCCATTTTTAGGACCACTGTTCTCCATGTATATGGACCACATTTTATTGTGTATAATAATTTAAATATTGAGTGTCAATGGAATGATGTTTGGACACGTATGTATTGCACGCACCTGCACTATATATTATTCACCTAGCACCCACTTTATAAACCCTGAACAAATGGAATCTCCGAGTAGCTTTATTTCAAAACGCCCCGGTTAATTAAAAGTTAAGCTGGATCTGACTTTATTTCCTCTCTCTTTTCAGTCGATCAGTTGAATTAAGGCTCAGGAGATTCCATTTAATCCGGAAGATTGTTTTGTTGGAATGCGCATGCTCATGTCCTCGGTGTTAATGAAAAGAGACTCAACCATTGGCTGTCAGTACTAGCGTAAGAGCATTTAAAATGGCATAATTCACTGGCTTCTCTTATTATAAAGTTTTAGTTAAATGTTAAAGATGCTTTATGAAGTTATAGATCTTATTATTATTATTGTATTTTATTATTATGATAAATATGTATGTATATATTAACCGATTGTTACACGTCCATCAAATGTGATGTTTAACAACATTGTATTAATCTAACCATTTGTAAAAATCCGACTAATACCAAATACTGTTTTAAGTACTAATTAATTACTCTTACAGAGGCTTTTATTACACAGGCACATCTTACTAACCATAATAGTATACTTAAACATGCATTATGCAAGGGGGGGGGGGTGAGGTTGGATGGCCGAATGGTTAGCACGCGCGCGCTGTATCATAAGGCCTGTTATTGAGTCAACTGGCGTGGTGTCGAATTCCCGGTTGTACGTGACAAGGAGTAGGGTCGCCTGTCCAACCTCGTGGGTTTTCTCCGGGTCCTCCGGTTTCCTCCCACTGGTAAAGACCGCTACGCGCAAGCAAATTATTGAAATAAAATTAAAACCATATGTTAGTCCCGAAATGACCTAGTTTGTGTCGAGTGGACGTTAAACACCATTTCTCTCTCTGCATTATGCAAGAGCTAAAACTGCCTTTTTCAGGTCTTTCTTTAGGCCTTAAATATTATTTAAATTATTAATTAGACATTAAGTAACTTATCAAGACCATAATCAACTCTCGATGCCATGGTTAAGTAGCCTGTGATATTTAGTGGATTTGAATACGTTTTATGATGGATGATTAACGTAAAAATGGATAACCGAGACTTATTATCGTACCAACGGCAGAAATGACGATCGAGGCTAGCCTAAAATTGAATCGCTAATATCGCGGTTCGGAGTGAAGCAATTTTACTGAAATTTTCAGCATATTCTGTTTTCAATATCTATTTTTAACTATGATAACGAGAACTGTCAGCTCTTTATCTAGTCTTACCTAATTCCACTTTAATATTCTGTTTTATACAACAGATACGTGAAATTGTAATTGTCACGTCTCAAAGGTTTTGATATTTTACAAACTATTTTGAAGGGCATTTATAAATTTGCAAAGCATATTAAATCATGTTCTTTGAACACTTGATTATTATATTTTACAAATTCAGAACTACAAGAATGTGCAGAAAAGTTCACGCATGGGTATATCTTTTCGGTGTTTGGTGCAGCACTCACTGTATAATAAACACAGCCAAAGCACATTTCTCCTACCGATTTAGTCCATGATTATCCCATATTTAGATTCGTTGGTGTACAGTTGGGTGGCATTTTAATTAGCCTGGATGTCATATTATAGTTATCTGATATATTAAACAGACTACGCCCGCCTCAGTGATTTTTAAGGAACTAGATAATGGTGATAAAAAATATATATGTCTGTTGCATAATCACGAGAGGTTAATATATTTAAAATGTGTAATGTGCATAATTGCTTTATTAGACAAAACACGCCATTTTCATGATTCGTTGACTCGTTTTTTATACGCCCACATTTTCATGTGGACGTATATTGTCGTCGCCCCTGTCTGTGTGTCCGGACTTCCCTGTACGCAAATAGTGTATCAGTATATCAATGCTGTGGACCCTCTAGAGGTCACTTTTTTTTATCCGATTCTGGGGAAACTTAATAAATAAATTTATATCACAAAGATCTTGGTTCCCTTTAATATTAGCGCATATCGAATCATAACTTCCTGGATTATGGCCCCTGATTGTAAGAAAAATCGCATTTTGAGCTTATGGACCATCTAGAGCTCACAGTTTGGATTTGATTTTAAAAACCGTTCAACTATATCACCGTTACACCATAATTACGGTGGAGTTCTAATTTTGTGAAAATCGGACGGAGACTGATAAAATGGCCCGCTTCCCTTTACACAAATAGTAGAGTTCACAATTTTTATCCGATTTTGATGAAACCTAAAATATATGTTTAGATCTAAAAAAAACAACCTCTGTTCCGTTCCATATTGAGGCATGTCGGACCGTAACCTCCTGTATTTTTAGCTTGTTCTCGGTCCACGTCTTGCAAAATGTGGACGTATCTTGCATGGCAACCGCTTGTTCGTACTTTACATATTGTTTTTTTTTAACCGAGAAAGTCTCAGATTTTGTAGTCCCTAAGAGTCAAACGGTCAGGCATTATGAAATATAATTTTTATCTTTACCATTATCTTGCTTAATTAGCCACTGTATTTATTCTCGTGTGATTTAGAAAGAAATATATGACTTCCACTGTTCTGCTACTGCGCAATATTTTCATTTCCTATGTTTTTATAGCGTTATATATCATACATATAGTTAATGTGTGAGTGTACCAAACTCGGAATCCTTCTTTTTAGTGTTCCATTTTTAAACGTTGTGTGTACTTTTCCCAGTTAGTCCCATTTTTCTAGTAACTTTATGATTAAAATAATAATATTATTATATATCATGTATATTGTTGTCTTTATTTTATATAGAAGATTTTTTTGGTCGTTAATATATAATTTTAGCTTAAACCGTGTTCATTATTTTACGTACATTAAACATTTATCTTCCGTCAATCAAATTGACCTTCATGCTCTTTTAAAACTCTTCCGTAAAAGAGGTTATCTCCCCTTTTCCAAAACAAATTCATAGCGGTCAAAACTATTCACAAGTGAAAAGGAAGGGAAAACCTCATGGTTGTGTCAGATAAACTAGTTTGGTTTTATACAACCAAATAAAAGATCCTGACCATGAACTAAGTGCATCTGCGAATGAAATGAATTAAGGGGAGGTAACTGTTTTTTACGGAATTCAATTATAAATTAGTTTAGCCAGTAACTTGAAACTAAGTTTGTAACAACTAATTTCGTAATAAACAAATCCATTTAATACTGGTGTGAGAATTTTATTCATCTGGAGATGCTGTGTCACAGAGTTGGTATCTTTCTCAGTGTAGGATTAGATTAGATTTCCGAGGCATTATTCCGCCACGACTATAGATTTTAATTTATATAATATGTAATATCATAGATGTTGTAATTTTTGTAGTTTCTTTTGGTTACTGTTATATAAATACGTATTTAAAGCAAAACCGGTTTCCCAAAATTCATTGATTATAAAACGAACACAACGTGAAGTCAAGTATAAATATCGAAGTGAATATCAAGGATTGGAGCTGTAAATATCCCATTTTCAGCTATCTTCTGCATCTGTATCAACTTCAACAATATTAACTTCTTCCAAGACACTACACAGCAGAAACATTTTGTAGTTATGTAGCTTGGGTGCTACTTTCACGGATTATTCAACCATGACTGGCTAGCTCCGTTTTACGCTATTCTATTTTATTCGAGCATGACTGGTTAGCCCATAGGTGCGTGATACGTTTCCTTGAAGAAGAAACCTATTGCCCTTTGCTCCTAAATATCTGAATACATTTCATCCGAACTTGGTTGGCGGTGCAATTAATGAGATTGTTTGTACCCATGGATACTGGCATGTGCATCTTAACATCTCATATATATATATATATATATATATATATATATATATATATATATATATATATATATATACTAGTGCCCATATCGCATGCTGATTTTACTATTAGAATATTTGACGGGCAGGTAGCATAGGCGGAATTGCATAAGCGCAATGGATCGACAATGTTCCTTGAAGAGGAAACTTTGGATATTATACCCTAAATATGCCATTTTTTCTTAACATCCCAGTGACTTGAGGTGATTATTCAGATTCAAGTTTTACAGAGACAAAATAAGAATATTCGACTTCTATAAATTTGGATTTCAACAAATTTAAGTTTGTTGCTTTGGTTGTGATATTGGCGTTGCTCAAATTCACAAGGATGGCCAGACAGAAATATAATCATATTGTAAAACAAAATCAACACAATAAATTTCAAACTAGGACATGTACCGTTACAAATAAGAATTCAACTTTATAATTAAATACATAATTGTTATTCAAGACAAAACTTTATAATACATATTGTTATTCAAGACAAAAACATACAAATCCTTTGCATAAATCATGTAAACATTGTTATTGTTATATTATTCAAAACGAAAATGTGCCATACACTTTAAATAAATAACCCAAATATGAAATATGTACGCCAGGGTTTGTTTTTAATTCAAATTGGGCACTTTTTTCAATTTATATGCCGAAAGACAAAGAATCAATGTTGCAGCATAAATACCCATAATACACCCATAATTCTGTTGTAATTCATCGACAGCATCCGGGTAGTTTTGATCTAGAAAGGCCTGACTTGACGGGAAACGGCACGGAACACCTGCAAAAATCACAGTAGAATAAATTTTTGTTTAGCTGTGCATGGTCCATGACGTACACCACCAATCTAAAAATTGTTATGTGTCATGAAATAAAACTAAAATTTCATTTTTTTTTATTTGCAGTTTTGAAACTGTACGCGTTTCGGCAAATTTGGTACTGCAATGGGCGAACTGTGTGGTTTCCTATCCAAAATAGTGTTAAGTGTTCAATTCAGATTTCATTGTTACATTTTCTGTTTAAACTGTACGCGTTTCGGTAAACTTGGTACTGTAATAGGCGAACAGTGCAGTATCCTACACACTAACTTATTATCCGGAGCACAAAGAAGACTCTTATCTACTCTTTACCTGGTCCACTCTTAAATAAAAGCCATTTGTTTCTAACGTTATTGAAATGAAATTATAATATCAATTGAATTGCTTGTTTCACAATTCCACAATCCTGCTGTTTGCTAAAAATAATCATCCACTTCAAGTATCTTAAAGGGTAATAAGGAAATATACAACCCAATGGTTTTCACACCCTTCACATAATTTAGTATCTTTCTTACAATGCTAATTATATTTATAGTATAGGAGGACCGCACCACACAGAAACAATTACACAATGTTTAGCTATCTTTCTCTGAATGGTAATTATGTCATTTAAATATATTTCATTTGGAAGTCGAAATGACAATGAAATGAAATGGTGTTTAACGTCCTATTGTTCTGCTCCGACTGGGATAATGAAGACCGTCATTTTGCCCGGACAGCGGCGCTACGGCCTACTCTGATATCGAATTTCAACTGCCAATGGATCTTTTACGTGTATGCCAATGTATAAACGGGACCTCGGTTTTTCGTCCCATCCGAACTAGACAGCTGTCCTTGTCAGACCCTCCGGTGGTCGAAATGGGGATGTAAGGACCTTGTGTGGCGAATGAGACATTCACATTTAATGAGTGTTTAATCCCTTTATTAATACTCCCAGACTTGCCCACATGTTTTAAATACGGTAAGATATCGTTTAAAATTTACCTGGTTTTAATCCGTCACAGGTGATGTTAATGTTGGTATACTCGTTAACTGTTATAATTTCCGTACCATATTTTACAGCTGAAGTATAACTAAACCATCTGAGAACGACAGGCAGGTCTTTAATAGTTCTAAAATTAAACACCAATAGTCATAACACAGTTGAAATTCATAAAGGCATTTATTAGGTAAACATGGGTTCGCAAGAGTTACCCTTGTTGATACTAGTCACATCATTAACTATTGTTATACTGTACAATCAAGACTAACTCCATGTCAATAGTTAAATAGTAACCCCGTGTGATACTTAGAATATTAAACCAATCGAATGTCGATTTAGTCGGCGGACCGAGGGGTGGGGATAGTCTATTTTCTGGCCGGTAAGGAAGGTTGAATATTTCTACACCCCGGGTTAGACTAGTCTCTATCATTCAGACAATAACCGTAAACCAAAACTAAGAATTACCATTTCCGAAAATCGATTTGTACTTGTATTGTCAGTTCAGTATCTAACACTCCTAAATTTTTATTGTAAAAGTGTTCAATTAATCCTAATTCCTCGTCAAGATTCATGTTTGTTCAAAATAATGCATGAATTATGGGATTTAATTCGTTCTTGACGTGAGCTAAAGAGTTCCATCGTCCATGCGTAATGGGGAGTTTTTATTTTATTTTATGTGTTGATTATCCAGTAAAATTTTGTCAAATGTATACAACTGATAGAGACCCTCTGTGGGTTGACGAATAGGATGTTCTGGATGCCCAGACTAACATTGACACTCGACAAAGGTTATGGTCAGGACGCTTAGGTGAAAAATCGTTCATAGTTTGATAAAAGCATAGGAATTGGCCTACGGGTAGTTTGTATTGTCCTCTTTCGAATAAGAGCTGGACAAGTGCGACCTGACCTCAATTTCGACCGTCATTTTTGATTCAAAATGTCCACCTTTGAAATAATAATATGGGACTTGGGCTATTTCAGCTTAACGGCATGATAGAAGATTGATGTAAGTGTCATAATCTGTGTTTTACCACCCACTGAATTCAACAGAGTCACTTCCATTACCATATATGCAAGTTGATTCGAAAGAGAACGCCGAAAGCGAAACATATGTCAAAAATTTAAGGATACCGACGTAAGCGAACTGACTATTAGAAGTACCCCCAACCCTACCCTACCCAAACAATCCCAATAGATGAATTTTCCGCATGCAAATGACCTCCCCAAATGGATCTCTCTGAGTAACCTTCTTCTATCCCATTGTAGTATAATAGAACAAACCGCTTTTTACTCGGAAATGACAAAAACTGTTGTCGGCTACTGTCTACTTACCGAAAGAATCCTGTTGAAATGGATAAGGACAACGTGAAAAGCAAGGATGTAAAAGTGTTAACTAATTGGTAGTCATAGACTAAAGCCATAGATAACTGCGTTATATTCTCAGCGATAAGAATCATCATAATGTGAACAACAAAATACTGACAGGAATAACCAAAATCTGAATATAATCCAACACCCCTGAAAATATTACAGTACATCATGGTTAAATACAACGAACATTATTAGATATTAGAACTGCACAAATACAGACGGGGTATAGAGAGGGCAACTCTACCCCGTCTCATGCACAACACCAGTTAATAATTGCGTCACTTAGTCTAGTTTCGTTAGATATAATAATAATACGCCAATATTTCTGACTTGACTGTATGACATGACTCTAAAATTAATATTAAAGAGGTATTTACATTTGTAATTCGAGTGTAGTTATCAAGCACAATATTAACACAATATTGACCCTTTTCATACAATAAAATACTTTGCTACTTAAGACGATATATAGAAATGAAAACAATTGGGTTTAACCTTTGAGCGTTTTGAGAAATTCAAGATGGCGTCTAACGGCCGCCATTGCAAATAATTTACTATAACTCCATAGTATTTAGTCTATTATGATACTTTTGGTGTTTGGGGCCAAGGAAAACAATGAAATCGTCGATTATGTTTTGGGGTGATTACATGATAGTAAAATCCAAAATGCCAGACAATATGGCCCTTCAACTCGATAGCAGCGGTTGGGGGCGATTATTTTACCAGACCAAACCAAACTTTATCTAGAAACAAACTACATATTTCTGATAACACCACATTCATGCATATCATTGGCTCCAGGGCCACATTGGACGGCCCTGAAAGGGAGGGCACAAGCTGTGTTTTCGAACATTTAAAAAAAAAAATTCTACCCGCAAAATACCAAAATAACCCCTATAAAATTAGGTAATATTCAGTTTAATCCTTTAGTCGCGTGTCTGGTTGCAACCAGTGACAACATAGAAGCAAATTACTGTACATGCTAAGCCACCCACCCCTAGTGCAGCTACAAGCAAGGTACTACATGGGGTGTCACTCTTGCATCCACATCTGATGAGCCACATGTCAGACCCTGGAGCATGTTGGCCGGTTGTAACGTTCTCAATTTAGTATCCTTTACCTAGCAATACAGTTCCGGATCAAGTTCCCGCCGATTACCATCTCCCAGTGAACACCACATAATAGCGTGGTGATGAGCTCTTTTTACGTTCCCGGCAAATGCATCATTCATCGAGCAAGACTACATGAAAATCCACAAAAATCTTATCAGTACCTTGCTTCTATTAAATTCAATAAATGTATCTTATAAAGTTTAACTAAATTTAATCACATATTTTTGGGTTGAAAGCCACGGTTATCTGTTTAATACTACTTACCAGTATCCAACGGCACATACCAGCAATCCACTTATAATATGAAATGGGAGAGCGTGGACATGGTAGACAATTGCAAAATACCAGGAGGAATAAAGACCGTCCCTTCTTTCTCTATAGTATAAATCTCGCAATGGGGAATCTGAAAACAAAACGAGACTAGGGCACTATTTTTAAATGCATATTTTGACATTACTGCTTGTAGTACATTAGCTAACTGCATAAAGAAGAAAAATCGTTCCAACGTGGAAACAAGTATCCAAATTGGCACAACTACTACTTGAGGACTACTCTTTTGAAAAAGCACATTAGTTGTTCGAAAATCCAAAATGGCGGCCATTTTCAAGACTGTTGACCTCACACTTTTTGCGATAAAGGCACTCCAAATAGAATTAGTACACAATTCTCGTAATGATGCAGTCTAAAATCGAACTCTTTCGATATCTTTGTATCTTAATCGGAACTAAAATCGTGGCCCCCTAGAGGGTCTAAAACTATCGTACATAGTTCACAATTATCCATAATGGTATTTTTATACCAATCAACGTGTTTCTAATACTGTATTCATGAGAGAAAAGTAATTAATATCTGGCTTACACAAGAAAACAGTTAAGATAAGAGGCAACATTTGGCTAAATAGCATGGTTTGGAAAAACAATCCGCCGCGGTTCTGTATACTCCTTTGATCCAGATCCAATCTTCCAAGATACATTATCACAAATAGCATGTTGATGGGCGCAGAGATGGCTCGTGTTAATGCGTTACCAGGGTCACGAAATAAATTCTTGTTCATTCGGCTATAGAAAAAAATAATGAAAAAAAAAAAACAATGCTTTAGAGTGAGTATGAATTCATGTTTTTTTTTCAGATAGATCATTTTACGTCCCTCATTATTTAGTGTTTTTTTTTTAAGTATCTGAAGGAACACACGGAGTTAAAACATAAAAATAGCACATAAACTATGAAGCGTACACTGATCCGTGCACGCCGATAACCCCTTACTGAATGTAACCCTTACTGAATTACCTGTAAGGGGTTATGAAGGGAGTCTGCATAAACCTAACATAGAACAAAGGGCACAGGGAGCTGCGGTGGATAAATGAGTAAGCAGTTGATTCACTAACCTGGGGGTCACGGGTTTGACCCCGTTATTGGCCGAGAGAGTTCATTGGAATTTTACGGCGTGCCGTATTCTTAACGTGGTGCTTTCTTCTTGTTCCCTAGCGGTATTTTTCGTCCTTAAATCTCCAACCTCGTGGGTTTTCTCCGGTTTCTACCCACTGGTAAAGACCCCTACGCGCAAGCGAATTATTGAAATAAAATTAAACCATATGTTAGTCCCGAAATGATCTAGTTTGTGTCGAGTGGACGTTAAGCCCCATTTCTCTCTCTCGTCCTTAAATCGGGGGCATGTGTGTCTGTGTGTGTTTACCTTAATATTGTACAGAAAGTTCTACAGACACCCGGACCGTTTCTTCTTGATGCCTTATTTTGAAAGTTGATATATTTTGGTAATTTTTGACTGTCTGTCATGGATGCTACCATGGCTTCATGTTGAGGCGATTCTCTATATCCTTGGACTAGATCATTTATTCTTAACATGGTGCTTTGTTCTTGTTCGCTAGTCTTTCTGTCAACACTACATACATCGACTTGAAAAATAGAAATTGTGTGATATGCAAACATTTGCGCATACACTTTATCTGGACAGTGAAGTTTCTGGTCCAAGGGACATAAGGTCCAAGGGAAAAAATGTCATTTTGCAATATTGTTGTCTTTGGAGTTATCCACCTTGCACAAGATGTTTGCGATGACACGGACGCTTAATGGTTATGACATAATTATGGATGCTACAGAAAGTAGGGATAAACTCCACCCGAGCAACGCTGGGTACTTGTCTATCGATAAAACATCCGTTTGTGGTTCATTTCAATATCTCGAGATCTATTGTATAAGATACCGCTAAATATATGAAATATCAGAATATAACGCTATGTCTAGATATTGACAAGCATGGAATGTGTAACTTTTATCATCTGTTTGTTGAGATTTTATAAAAGGAGAAAATGTCCAAAAATGTAGATTGTAAATGACTTACTGTAGACATCTAGTGGGTTTGCGTACAAGGGGCACGGGAAGTTCAACCTTGTGAAATGAGAAACTATTTCATCAGACCGTCCGAAATATGTCATTTCGCCTTGCGACAAGATGGCAGTTTGATCAATGAGTTTGAAGATATCAGAACGAGGTTGATGGATGGTCATGAGAACTATTTTCCCAGAGCGAGCTAAATCTTTGAGGCTTTTGACCAAATATTTGGCAGTGAAGCTGTCCAGTCCTGTTGTCGGTTCATCCAAGAGTAGTATATCTGAAATAGAAATTAGTACAGGGAGTATCGTAATGCCGTTTAATCAGTTGGCCAATTGCGTTTGAAATAAAAGAGCAGCCCTATTAACCGTGCGGGCCTAACCACAATTTAGCAAAAACAAATAACTTCGATAAGACTAAAAACGTTCACTTATTCACAATATTGCAATCCATTTTTGTCGATAATACATATAGTTATTAACTCTACCTGGGTCTTTTAAAAGTTGTATCGCTATGGAAACTCGTCTCTTTTCGCCACCTGATATTCCACGTTTAACAGCACCACCTACCAGAGAATCAGCTACCCTCGTCAATCCCATTTGGTGTATAACTGCATCTACCTTAATAAAGATTGATAATGGTATAATATCAATGTATCCATTCTCACCTCCAAATTGATTTCAAAAATAAAAGCGAAGTACTGCGCTCATGATAACTCATAAAAAAAGTGACCAGGAAGGACGCACCTAAAATGGTTTAGTTAACCAAATATTTTTAGATACATGAATCTCAACAAATTAGTCTTACAAGGCACCACTTAATTTTCTCCGTTTTAGGTGTAAGGACTGGCGGATCATAACGGACCATATTGCCCGGCAAATGAGATAAACAAATTTGATCAGTGGTCACATTAACCCAATTTTACTAAAGACATCAAACTCATCTGGTAGATTTGTCTTCGCAATCAAAAGCATACGACTACACCAGCATTTGGAAGGGTGGTTTTGGGTTGTCCATGGTCGGCGATTATAAATCTGCATAAATTTGATTAGAAAGTCGGAATTTCGATAGGGTTCGGGGTAATGGTTCGCTGAACAAGCCAAGAAGTTTATGAGAGGCAGAAAGCCTGTTAAAAATTGTTGCACTAATCTAAATGTTGATGCAATTCCACCTTAGAACAAGCCTCAGAATCCTTAACCTAGAAAGCATTTGCTAGTTTTATGTGACAACACCTAAAATTCGTTATTACGCTACTCTGAATTTCGATAGGGTTCAGTCGCAGATTTATCTAAACATCCCTGGCATGTAAGTGTGTACAAGAATCGTGACCGGAAACAGGGATGAAGACAATACACTACTACATGATGTGTTTTGCATGTGGGCGTGTGAAAAATAGCACTAGATCAATAACGATCGGTGGAAGACTCGTATGTCATCTTAAACGTTATATCTCACCTTCGAATTGATAGTATTATCAGTTGCATAACCAGGGAGATTTAAATAAGCTGTATATCGCAAAGTTTCGCGTATTGTCAGATTTGGTAACAGGTGATCAGCTTGTATAACATAACTGGTACACGATTGCATCAGCATCTTGCTGCAGACATAATTTTTAAAGTAGATGTTACCCGTAACTCCACCATCCACACGGCATGCGATAACATCTAAAAGAGTTGTCTTTCCACATCCTGAAATAAGCCAACCACACCATCGGTACTAACGTTTCACAACAAATTTTAAATTATAGCATCTATTGTGATCACATGGTTTTCAGTAAAGGGGACATAACTCTACAAAGTTCAGCCTTCGCAAATTTTCATTAAAGGGAAAGACCAACGATTTTTAACACGGTTTCCATAAATCTTACATATATATATTTATAATCCCCTCTGTGAAACAAGCAAAAATGTTTTTTGTGAGCGAGAATTTTTTTTTTTATTATTAAAACCGGAAACGACGTAGTTGGTTCAACACGCTCATTGGTCTCTAGTAAGCATACAGATTTGGCATAAGTTTACTGCTGTATTTTATTCACGCGTCGTGGTTTGGATGAGAATCCGGCCAAAGGGAGTGTTTATTTGGATATTATAAATATGGATTATGGTTTATTTTAACGTTTAATACACAAATCCGCATGTACATCCACTCATACTGAACAGTACGTTTTGTACCAATTCACGCCACACGGCTAATTTTAGGTATTATTGTGAACGAATCCCCTGCGTTTCAGAAAAGTACCGCACCTGGCTTATGATTATTGATTAAAGGATATTACGCTATTGTAATCAGTCGAGTTCTTAACCAATTTTCAACACGTATCGGCCGTGGGTATTATTTACAGTACCGGATTCTTATCTCTAAGTTTTATGTACGTTAACATATTCATGAGAGTAATATTCTTATTACAACACGGAAGATGAGGCTGCTCGTGGGGATATCTTAAATTGTTAACAAATCTATATAATATCAACATACAAATCTTCTTTGTCTAAATTTCCACAGACCTGAGTTACCAATGATAGCTGTTACTTCTCCACTGTTTAAACTCATGTCTATATTCTTTAATACTTTTCTCTCTGGGGCTGATTTAAAACAGGCCCCTGTGTACCATGCTCCCGATTTCTTCTTTACTGTATAGGATAAATTGACGATATTCAACCTAGGGACCTGGACATTCATAGTAGCATTAAGCATCACTGGTCCTGGCGCCCCATAATAAACCACCGGATCACGTAACAGAGCAGTAGTTTCCATTTTGAAATTTGCTAGAATAACGTAATAATTAGCACTTTTGTTAAATGAATTATGCATGTATATGTGTTTGGTGTCATATTATATTAAAATTCGAAACATTCCCATTGCCATGTTCTCGTCAAAATCTATTTATAGATATTATTTTGTTTCGACTACCATTCATTGCATGTGGAGAGCAATTAATTGCCTTCGTCTAATTTGAAACCGTTCCTGGTTGAAGAGTTCCTATCTGCTAACCCCGAAAGACGCCTCACCACCTTCGTTATATTTTACCTTGATCAGATAGTTGAAATTAAAACTTACCTCACCCGGTCCACTCAGACGAGGTTCCCTTAAAATTACGAATCCTCCAAGATTTTTTTTTATAAATCCTCTAGTTACAAGGTTATTGTGATTGTAAACCGGATTTAGTCAATAAGACCAACAACGATGTGCCAGTAATAGCATTAATTAATTGAAATGCAATTATATGTTAGAATTAAAATTAATCAGCCAAGCATTTAATATATGAATTACATTTAATTAGCATATTCATTGCAAATTAAGAGACTATTCTAAACCATTTGTATTCGAATTCGTGATTGTATGCGTTAATAACATTTTCATTTTGTCTTTATCGTATGTAAACATCTGTTCTCTTGCTTATTGTTTTGCATTTATGGCCATGTTTCTTATCCTTTGTATGCGTGATTTGATAAACTTCTGTAGATACAGATATTCCCGTTGTACTAATTTGCATCATGTAGCAGGAAAGTCCTAATAGACAATGGAACTAAGTTTAGATTTGGTAAAGTGTGCCTGAAAGGAAATACACGTCCAACCACAAAACCCAAGAATCCTCCAACTGGTTTTTGGGAGCGAGGGTTTTTTCTACTGATCAGATAGACATACCGTACCCAGCCGATGATGAGAAGACAGACGAAGAAATGATTGGGGGGGGGGGGTTGATCATTTTTAGCGACACAAACAAAGATGCTCCTTCGAATAGAGAATCGTTCTGTGAAAATTAGGTAGTGGTGATTAGCTGGCTTTAATTCAGGAATGTTCTAAATCTATCTTCTTATGTTAGTCTTTTAAAGCGTTGTCACTCGAGTAGACTTGGGTCCAAACATAAGTCTACCCCCATTTAATTATAGCTACAGTAGGTCTTTGATATTTTTTTAACGGTCACATTCAGTTTCTCGTGTGAAAATTTCATTTGGTTTTCGTCCCCCTCCCCATTGGCTACTAAAGCCCCTTAGCTTGTGGGCTACTTAACATTCTGGGTTAGGTTTTGGGATTCGATTATCCAGTATGGAAATGGCCTGGTGGGTATGAAGGCAACATTATACGTCAAACGTTACACCAAGGGTAGTATACCAGCATGGTCTTGTCATCTAATAAAACTGTAGTAATTGCCCCCATCCTTACCAAGGGTAGCGGAAGTCCTAACGAATGCACCCCTGCCCCGACGTAGATAATATACTATCGTCTGGTGGACACCACTGTTTCCCTGTCTAAACTATATCAACTGCGATATCTCAATTTCAAGGCTCATTAAAGAGCAAATCCAACACACAAAAAATCCGGCAATAAATTACTCCAAAAAGTATGTTGAAAATGAAGATATCTTCTTTCAATGATCTTAAAACAACAGAAATATATTACTCGTGTTTGTAATAATATGCGAATTGCTCTGTCAGGAAATAAATAATGTCCTACTGTTCTGCTCCGACTGGGCCAATACAATGAAGACGGGTAATGAAAAAAAAAAAGAATTAATAATAAAAGTCCAATACCCATGATGGATGGTCATATAATTAAGCTTAATTTATTTATATTACGAAAATAATAAAGATTTACATATTTACAAATAATAGCATTGAACAATTAACAAAGGAAGGAACGAGCTCTATTTGTTAGACCCAAACTGAGTGTCAATGAGATATTGAAAGACACCACTCAACACAGACGCCCAATCACCATTACCATGAATAAATCCATCTTATGTATATTAGTACATATTTACAAATAACAGCACTGAAAATTAACGAAGGAAGGAAGCAGCACTATTTAATACAGCCAAACTTGAGTGTCAAGAAGATATTATAAGACACCACTTAACACATACTCTTAAGTATAAGTCTAGGTCTTTTGTCCATCTCGGTGTTGCTGTTCAAAAATTATTCCCACAAATATACAGAAATAACAGTAGGATAATAGTATGCCATTCCGTGTGAATTATTTATTGTAAATTAGGTATTCCTCGAACTTTGAAGGCCAGCATTGATAGAAGAAAGAAACCCCCAAGATAACCGACTATTATTTCAAAATTTCTAGCTACATGCCCCTGTGAGTTTGGAAAGAAGTCGTTGAGAAAAGCCTCACCAGTAGGGTAGCCACATGGTTCATCTGCAATTAACAAACATGGAATATTATATATAGCTACTTATACACACCATATTTACATTTATCATACAAGAAAATAAATGAAATTATTTTTGGATAATATATTCCAAGCACTGACCTAATAATGCAGGGTATTTTTGACCATCATGGTCGCAGCTCGCAATGAAACCACTCAATAATTTTTTCGACTCGAAAGACTGAATTTAAAACTGGGGCGCAATTATGATAACTTCAGTGAAAATCTCAAAACACAACATTAATTCGTTCTAGATCATAATTGAGTGGTATTTACCATTCGTATTCGAATAAAAATTGTAACTTACTGGGTACACAGGTGAAGTTTAAGTGTTGGAACTCATTATTACCAATAATTTCGGCAGCATACCTCGGCATGGAAATCCTTACAAGCCACTGTAGAACATAGGGTAACGAATCAAAAGTCCTAGATAGAATGTGGAATTGGTATTTCGTCAGTAAATGATGTTATTATATCAATTCCCCCCTTTTTAGCCAACAAGAAATTTTGTTTAAGTATTTTGTGCTGGTAACATTTATACTACAGTACAATCTAACATCTTTAGTTCATATGATCTGATCGAAAAATTATGATGGAATAGGTTTGTTAAAATTGAACAGAACGATTAGGCCTACAGAGGAGTTTGATCCTCATTTTAGAATAAATGATGAATTCCAATCAGAACGAAATACAGATGTGATTTGAAGCATAGATTGCTAGGGGTTATATAATACAGCTAAATAACATATGTCCTACAAACGTATCGTTTCGGGTAAATTTTCTTAGCGACAATTGGACATCCGATATTATTATTCGAATAATAACGACAGGTTGATAAATTAAGAAGTACCTTATGAAACCTGAAGATACCAAACAAGACATGGAAATGCATTCGCCAATGAGACTGTTAGCGATGAGTGCATTGTGACACAGTCCTAATCCCATGATGCTCACCAGCTCACCGGTAAAATATAAAACAGTTATAACTGCTACAAACATTCCAAAGCTATTGATATCACTATACATATTGCAGATCCTGAAATAAAATAGGCGAAACGTAATCCGGGACCAGCAATTTGATTGCCGCGATCCAAATCTAGGTTTTTTTTGTCCACATTCAAACCCCATTATCTTTGTTTGCTTTAAATTTCCGAATGCAAATCCAGATACCTAAATCTGTGAATCCGCACAGTTTTGTAGATTTTACAGATTGAAAATCACAAAGCCATTTGTCTTCAGTCTCCAAAGACGAGTATAATTTATCAGGCCAGCCTTATGTCTGATCAAGAATATTAATTATCTACAATTGAAACGTTCCTTTCCAAATTATACTTTGGATGCAGTATCAGCTTGAAGTAGATAACATCTCATAGTCAGTTTGAACATGTTTGCAGGCAGGGTCCACCTGTCCCGATCAATTCGCTGATTACTTTTGACACTGTCGCAAAGATCATTTAAAAGCGTTAATCTTATAGTTCGGAAGAAATGGGGCTGCTATTAATCATTTCACTTTTTGTAAAGTCTATTATATATTTGGCTTTTGTATGTAGCAGTCTTCCTAGGCGGATATGTTTTGTAAGTCCCAACACTTTTACAACCAGTTGGTTATGATAATGATTTGTATAATGGTTGATCAAGATTGAATCAGGTGCCAAGAATTAAACTTACCAGTATAAGGCTGACGAGAATATAGCACTGGATACAATAATAAAAGGTAATGCATGAAGTGTGTATGCTATCATGAAGTAGTCTATCGAATACAATCCATCTCTTGCTTCTCGGTAATATAAATCCCGTAATGGCGGAACTGAAATATCATACAGATAATAATTTACACATCCTCGATATCCCCAGTAGCATTGTTCCGTTCTAAAACTGGGGATACCGATGATGTAATTTATTGGGACACATTGGATATATTAACGATAAATGGTACCAAGTGTTTTACTTTTAAACTATAATATCTTAAGTCAAACGTTGCCCAATATTTCTTTAGTAATTTTCGTATGGTTATATAATCAAAGCGGGCGTGTTGGTTAAATATATTGTGCAATGTTCTAATGGCAGCTAGATTATTTACTCGATAGACAGAAATATAATCTAGATGGCTAAACGCGGACCCATCCCTACCCCAACACCACTAACATAGTTAAAGGGATTAATAGAATTTTGGACTTGTAGGTGAAATAGGTGATAGTTTGGACTTGGGTCATGAAGCTAAACAGAGAGATAGTTTGGACTTACAGATAGTGATCGCAGGATTTGAAAGTAAATATATAGTTTGGGATGTGAACTTGGATGTTAAAAATATAGATGGGTTATCTTGGATCTTGAAGTTACATAGTTTTGACTAGAAACATGACACTAAAAAAAAATTGTTTTAGCTTCGACCTCGAAGCTAAGTAGATAGTTGGACAGCGCACTTGAAGCTAAATAGATGTTTTGGACTGGGAACATGGAAGTTAAATGGATAGTTTGGGCAGGGAACGTGACGCTAAATAGATGTTTAAAAATATAGATGGGTTATCTTGGATCTTGAAGCTACATAGTTTTGACTAGAAACTTGTCACTAAAACAAGATTGTTTTAGCTTCGATCCCGATAGTTGGGACCAGTTAAAGAGCTGGTTTGGTCAGCGCACTTGAGGCTAAATAGATGTTTAGGACTGGGAACATGGAAGTTAAATAGATAGTTTGGGCAGGGAATGTGACGCTAAATAGGTGTTTTGGTCTGGGAACTTGAAGTCAAATATATAGTTTGGGCAGGGAACGTGGCGCTAAATAATTATTTTGGTCAGGGAACTTGAAGTCAAATAGATAGTTTAGGATGGAAAATAGGTGTTTGAACGATGGCTTGGTTATGGATCTTGTAAATTTGTCTCGGGGAAATGCTTACGTTCTACTTACCTATTTCCATGACATTTATTAAAGCTATAAAGGGCGGTGAACTAACGGCTTGGTATAATAACCCCAACCGGTCTTGAATACTCTGCTGGCTGTAACCCAACCGACCCAGAAATATGCAGACAAAAAACACGTAGAATGGGAAAAGGAAAATTCTTGAAAGAAATGTCCTTTTATCTCGCCATAAATTTACGTTGAAGCGACTGAAAAAAAAGATGATTTTGAGAACTCCACGTTGTCAAAAATAGGGGACTTCTTGAATTCATTTCTAAATTATATATACTGAGAAACAATGGGAACTTATGTACATGGATGATTGTTACTCTCCTTTGAGAGATACACTTTAATTCTGAATGCAACAACATAAGATCACGATGCTAACGCGCCACAGATTAATTCTCTAATATTAAATTTCACAGTATTAGAATGTTGCCAACGCTAGGGTCATTGCAACTCGTACAATTTTGTGGAATGCGCACCTAAACAACCAAAATCCGCTAAGGCAATAATTTCAGAGGGTTTGAGTACCAAAGGAACTGGAAGCAGCATTGTAACGACAGGGCAGAATGGCCCCTTAACCATACATTCAGAAGCTTGTGCGTGGACGTAACCGCTAGAGATCATCACTCACATTGACTTGATTTTTGTTGCCTGTGCCTAAGTTACAATAAGTTTGTTGCGGCCTGCGTGGATTATTGTTAATTTCTGTGTCGGTTATTGTTAGTTATATCTTACCCAAAATTCAAACCAGTGGTGAGTATCCACTGTGTCTCACTATATTTGATTGTTCAGTAGATTCATCCAAAATTTAGATATAGTTAAAAGTTTCTTCTAAACTGTCGACAATCAAATGAAACTAAAAGGGTGATCAATTGAACTTGGATTTTTTTTACTGTGTAAAATTAACTATATAAAACGTATGTTAGTTATATCAGTAGTGATATCCGGCGTTTTAGAAAGAAAGGGAATATCATACATTGTGCACAATACCCGCAACTACTGATATATGACTGAATCAATGGTTTGTACCTGGATTTCAGAAGCCCAAATCAGCTAAGTAGAAGGTAACTTTGTGATTTAAAGTCCCTGTTCGGATAAAAAAAACCACGGCAAAGTTATGTTAGCTATATGCACTCCACGAATGAGAGGGAGGTGTTCTAAATATTGTAACCATACCCTACATAGTTCATGACACCCTTTACCACATAATAAGTAACCGTGGGTCTGGATTGGGGAACCCAAAGTTCTGAATAAATAATGCGATATCATTAATCAAAATACCTGAGAAGTGTAAGAAGAATCCGGAACGCACCGGGACCTCTTTTAGGTAAATAACCGGGTTGTATGTTTTTAGCCTGAGATAAGCACAATGTACTATTTTCTAACAGCTGACGATTGGTGAACGAATCTTTATAATGTTTGACAAGACGATTTACTCTTTCTGTTGAAGATAGTTCCAGTTCAGGAGACTTCCTATTAATACTGCTGACGTCAACTGAAAATACAAAGTGGGTCTAGTAAGCCGATTATGCCAGTAACACCATCACCAAGAAACATCCACATCCTAGCACATTTACAATAACCATAAACTTACACTTAAAAGTTAAAATAATTATAAGAACGTATCCTTGTTCTACTTAGCGCGCTATTCCCCACGTAACCATGAACCGCCACGCTATATTCGGAGAAAGCAGGGGCCTATTTAAAAACGTATGTCTGTGAACTAGAATGTATTCGATGGTAAGCATTTTTGCTACGGGTAAGTAGATATTTTGCCGGGGCTTTGAGTGCGATGAAACTTTACTAAGTTCGAGCATGAGCATTTTCTGCTTAGGCTAAGCATAGATGAGCAGTTTTATTGCCCCATGCTGTACAAAAATATTTATTGAAGGAATTGGAGTGTGTGTGTGTGTGGTGGGGGGGGGGGGGGTAACCATTCTCACTGTTAGCTTGTTTAGTAATAATAATGATACTTACTATAGATATCTATTGGGTTGGCATATCGTGGACATGGGAAATTTATGTTGGTGAAATAAGGCACAATGTCCTCCGGCTTGCCGGAGTATGTCACCTCTCCTTGTGATAAGATGGCGACTTGGTTAAACAATTTAAAGATGTCGGAACGAGGCTGATGAATCGTCATGATAATTATCTTCCCTGAATGTGCTAAGTCTTTTAGGTTAGTTACCAGATGTTTTGCTGTAAAACTATCTAGCCCTGTTGTCGGTTCATCTAAGAGAAGTATATCTAAAACAGGTAATTTTGTAGTATCAGTGGTGGTTTGTAAAAAATAAAGACGCAGTGAAGCAATACGGATGAAGTGAAAATCACAGACGTTTGGTACTACTTGGGAGATCGAAATTAGCATATGATAACAGTTATAACTTCGCTCAGAATAAGGTAATATATTTACTTATTATTATCTATATTTCAACTATTATAGTCAGAACAACCGACTCTTTTTCTAAATCTTACATAATGCATCTTTAAATAAGGAAACGAAGAGATACATATCGAGATACATACCTGGATCTTGCAGAAGTTGTATTGCTATGGTAACACGTCGTCTTTCGCCGCCAGAAATACCGCGGTCGACAGAACCACCTATGACAGAATCAGCCACATTCTTCAGACCCAGATCATTAATGACCTGTTGTACCTATAATTAAGTCCAACAAAAATCTTAACGAATGTAATGCCCTTCACCAAATACTGCAGCAGCCCGTTAGCAAACTGAATGATGTATGTGTACGAACTTTGCTTTTTCATTCTAAATGTCCAGTTCAAATTTAGACGCTTCCGTTCGTTATGCCAATAAGGTTTACTGAATTTAAATATTTCATGAAAATTCCGTCTGGTTATACCAACATTTCGTTCAGTTTTTGGTTGTTTTCTCCACTTTATATTGGTGTTAAGACATTTTTATCAGTCGCGATCTGATCTCGAGACCCACATACCAACAACAACATTCAGCGATACATTTTGAAATGTTTTGATTGGAAATCTGATGGAAATCGTCTCTATTATGGGTAATATATGGTGTTCATGGCCCAGAGCGGATGTATGGCAAGTCATAAAACCGTACCTTTTTATCGATCGTAGAAGCTGTTGTGTTCCCTGGCAACTTTAAGTAGGCTGTGTACGTTAAACACTCGCGAACTTTCAAGTGGGGTAGAAGACGATCTGCTTGCATAACATAACTAGCAGCTGACTTCATCAAGGTCCCTGTACACAGTTCTCCACTAAAGTAAACACTGCCACTCACCCTACCTTCAGTACGACAGGATATGACGTCAAGGAGTGAAGTTTTACCAGAACCTATTATTACAATACATTTTTACTTCATTAAGCGACTGAACGAGATGACATGTGAGATCAAGAGGGTGTGGGTAGGCAGTAACAAAACCCAGTAATTTCTTCATCCTTCAACATTGAAGCTATGTGTATCAGCTAGGATATTTGTTGATGTGGGGAAAGACAACTTCTTTGTGAAACATTTTGAAACCTCGTACAGAAATAAATTTGAGCTTATAATTTCAGAACTACGAATGTGTGAATAACGTATTTCGACGGATTGTAAAATATAAAGGGTGCTGAGATGTGTTCCATCCTTGATCAACTTTATGATAGTATAAGACTTTCAATGTGTATTCAGTTGTAGGATTCAAAGAGAGGTTATTTTCTAGACAGAACAGTATCTTAACTTAAAACCCATCTATCACAAACCCCGAGATATGCGGGACGGACGGAACTTTATATTTCTGGCTTTAACTTTGTTGAAAATTTGTTACTGTTATTACCTGAGCTGCCAACAATTGCCGCTATTTGCCCATTGATAAATTTCATATTTAAAGATCTTAAAACCATTTTTTTCCTGGTTGGTTTAAAACAGTTCGTCCGCCACCATGGTCCCGATATTTCATTGACTTCATAGCTGAGGTTACAAACATCTAGTGAAGACGATGAACTGCTTCTAACAGATTGGAGGCTTCCATTCACACCATAATTTCTGATGAATGAAGAGGAATTCGGCAAATCTAAATCTTCCATCCTTTTGTCGAGCTGCCAAAGAAATGGGCAACTAATAATTGCACTGATCATAAATTCAAGTAGAAAGTAAGTTTAGTAGTACATGAATTTACAAATCCGGCCGAATTCATGGAGAGTAATAACAAAGTTCATTTGGTAATAAAGAAATTCAATTTGGCTACCGATTTCACGGAGAGTAATTTAAAAAATGTATTATATAATAAGTTCAGTTGCTAGTTGGTAATTAAGAAATTCAGTATATCTACCGATTTCACGGAGAGTAATTATACAGGGGAACTTGGGGTTATTCTTCTGGAAGTTTTTCTTTAAACCTGTAACGGGTTATTCTTCCAGGGTAGGTTTGGGGTTTTTTTCCACAAGAAAACATGATATAAGGTTTTTCTTACTATAATTCTGGGATATTCTCATTTTACGTACATAGACGGTTTATAAGCAAGATAATGTCCTCGACTTCGGTTATACTGGGGAAGAAAGACTTCAGTAAAAACCTTTGAAAGAAAATCCTCGACCTGCCGAAACCGGTTTTTCTTTTTCTAGGGTTATTTTCTTCAGCCTTTCTTTCCCCAGCACGTCAGTCTCGTGCTTTATCCTACACATAACAACTTTTCGAAAATTATTTTTTTTACTTTCCATGGCTTGGCGTCGGGCAATTTGGCATTGTACTGCATTTTTGATCGGCGCCGAATGAAGGAGACGTCTGGGCAGTTAACAAATGTCTAACTACTATGTTAAATCAATGACATCTCTTGGTCATGATCCTCTTCTTTATAACTACAATGAGACAATACAGACGGGGATCCTTCAAGACCCATCTTCAATTTTAAAACTAATAGCCAACCAAAGTTGCAATACAAACGTTGCAAAAAAAGGACAAACTATTCCTTGTCGAAGTCCTCCATACCCCCAGTTTATTTTCATTATCGATAAAAAGATATATTTTCTAGGTACAAAGTCTATATGATTAATAAAATGTTACGGGCATTGACTGATGATCACTGAAGCCGGCTAGCCTGGCGGTCCCCTGTTCGATCCTAGTGTTCGCCTAAAAAATTCATCGAGTTTTTCCGGAGTGGGTCTCTCTTGTTAGTGTTGCAGGAAGGGAGGTCTGACAAGGGACAGCGTATCGTCGTCGTTCGGGTGGGATGAAAACCGACGTTACGTGTAGATCTACAAATATGGGTGCACATAAAAGAACCACTGGCAGTTTGAATTGGAAATAAGAATAGACTGTAGTGCCTCTGTCCGGGCAAAATTTCCCTCATAGCACATTGTATGTCATACGCCAATTTTATTTCACATAAGAACTTTTGTAAAACGTTAATAATGTATATGAATTATAAGGTACTCACATAACACGCGGCCTACTGCTTATCCTCGAAACTATATGAACTTAGAAGCCCATTAATGAGCTGTAATTGATACTGTCAATGTAAAAGTGTGTCAAACGGTCGGTACATCCCTTCTTTATCAATATCGATTAAATTGATTACAATAAAATAAAACATAACCCCAAATTGATAAAAAAAAATATATTATTATGTTATTCAGTACTTTATATTTATAGTATAAAAAACCTATACAACAAAACAATATTATGACCCAAATTGATAAACAAAAATATAATTTCAAACTTTATCAAATTGATAAACATAAATAAAAATAACTGTATTGTTTAAAACCCATGAAGTGAACCCCTAAACTTATGAACTAAAGTCCGGGACGCATGCAAAGGATTGAACGAAAAAGGTGATGGAAGATTTGAAATGACTAGATTATGTAGATAAAATCGACGCTTTTTTATAAGTAGGGTATTGATTTTAAAGGGATAATGCCACATAATGTATTTTATTTGTCATGTGAATGTTGTGATGTAGCATTGGTTTTTTTTCGTATTCATTGTGCGTACTTAAGATACAAATAGACTTCGTCATCTGAATAATCTATCCAGTCAATCAAATAGTCTTCATCATTTTTGAATATGCTGCTTTGCACGATATTTATGAAACGTAATGAAATGAAATGTGTTTTTAAGTCCAGCGCCGACTGGGCTAATGAAATGAAATGGGGTGTAACGTCCTACTGTTTTGCTCCGACTGCGCTAATGAAGACGGGCATACGCCATCCAGTGTGCTATGAGGGAAATTTTGCCCAGACAGCGGCGCTAGGGCCTGCTCTTGTATCGATTTCCAACTGTCATGGGTTCTTTTACGTACACGCCAATATGTACACGGGACCTCGGTTCTTCGTCCCATCCGAACGACTAGACAGCTTTCCTTGTCAGCCCCTCCGTCCTGCATCACTGACAAGGGAGAACCACGCCGGAAAATCTGGATGAACTTTCTCGGCCAATGCAGGGATCGAACACCCGACCTCCAGGCTAGCGAGCTAGCGTCTTACCCACTTAGCCACGTGATCCCCAAAAAGTAATGAGAAAGCCGTGTTCTTTATTTGCGATTCTTGGGGAACAGTCTGTGATTTATATTAAACACGTGGATGTCTCCCTGTAAACAATGAACTAAAAATGAACATTCTGCGAGATCAAGACATAAACCACATCGTCTAGACGAGGTCAAGAACACGTGGTTCATCAGCCACATAGTTATTTATACTTTGAATACAATCACACCATATGGGGTATTGACCTGGACTGTGAACCGTTTTGACGCTTATTATGAACATTTCGTCTCGTTTTATTTCATTACCCCAATAAGAAATATACCGTTTGCATAACGGTGGATATTACAGTCTTCCTGAAATCCTCTCGTATTCTGATGTGAATAACTGGGAATACGATTGGAAGCCACACACTCATAAAATAAAAAAAACCCGGTAACATTGTCAAACGAAATTGAACCGTGTTTAGCGACGTGAAGTTAGCTTGTTATTCGTTATTCGCGAATAACGAACAACGAGCCAGTCTTATGTTTCGGTATTCACGAATAATGAACAACGAGCTAGTTTGTTGTTCGTTACTTACCAGATATGGAATAAGTAATATTAAAAAGGGAATATAATAGGGAATGGCCCAATCGTTAGTAACACATCAAAGTCTTGGGAAATAGATTCTCACAAGCTGTCTTTTACCCGAAAAACGAGCTGTTTCATATTTGACGAGAGAGAGAGAGGGAGAGAGAGAGAGAGGGGGGTTTAAGGTCCACTCGACACAAACTAAGTCATTTCGGGACTAACATTTTTCGGGACTAACATTATATTTCAATAATTCGCTTGCGCGTAGGGGTCTTTAGCAGTGGAAGGAAACCGGAGGACCCGGAGAAAACCCACGAGGTTGGACAGGCAACCCTACTCCTTTTCACGTACAGCCGGGGATTCGAAACCACGCCAGTTGACTCAATGGCAGGCTTTATGATACAGCGCGCACGTGCTAACCATTCGGCCATCCAACCCCCCTCATATTGACGAATAACGATCAATGAGCCAGTTTATTGTTCGGTTACGGTGGGTGTTAACAGTCTGCCTAAAATCATCTCGTATTCGGTGGTTAATAACTGGGAATATGATTGGATACCACACACTCATAAAATAAAAAAAATCTGTAACATTGTCAAACGAAATGGAACCGTGTATAGCGACGTGAAGTTAGCTTGCTATTCGTTATTCACGAACAACGAGCCAGTCTTTTGTTCGGTATTCGCTAGTTTGTTCTTCGTTATTCACAAGATATGGAATTTGTAATATAATAGAGGAACTTTTACAGGGAATAAGCAGGACACATTGTTCCAACTAACTTGCGATGCAAGGTGGAACGTGCATGCCAATCCATTATGGAAAGTTCCGCCCAGGAATTGATCTCTAACCAGTCAATGTAACGAAAGATGAAAACCTATCAAGAAAGATACTGGTATTGAATAGACTTGTCTCGGGTTCAAAATAAAAATAATTATTTATATGTATGGCAGCAAAGTACAAGGCTAAAGCTTTACTGAACAAACATTAATTAGGCCTAAAGGTTTTTCTGACCCGTACGCATTCCCGTATTATGATTCGTAATCCATGCGAACTGGACAATAATATTATACTATTATTAAAAACTATAATAGCATGACTTAATTTAAACCACCGCTATGTTAATAGATTAGTAATCAAAATTAGGTAAAGCAGAGCAGTTTTTCTATTTTTCTCGCATTTTCTGAACACATGAAAGTCAATTTGGTTTTTTGCAAACCTCTAATATAACAAATCTTCGTTTTGACGACTCCCAATTGTTAGTAACAATAATTGCTTTCCTTTATTTGCGTCATTTCCGGATTCTGTGAACGCTTATTACTGATCAACCAGTTCTGTCATATGGACAAATGGTGGACATCAATATTGTGTTTTATCATATGTGTGCTTGATAAACCAGACTCACACTCTTATAAATAGACTTTGTCACTATTTACCTGTCTAGCTTTTTATTTTCGTATCACTAACATTTGACCTGAAAGTTGATAGAAATATCTAATCAATATATATGTTACCCTTTTGCACACCAAGGAGGTCAAATGAAGTTTCGATTATCAAATGTCTTTATCAATAGACTAGTGACGTAGCTTGATCGAGCCTATTATTATGACTCTATAAAGCCTTTATTGAAGTGTTATATTTTTATCCTAACGCTTTCATCATTCATTCATGTTTTACGATTGCAAGACTCCAGTCCTTGGTCTATACGATGCATCGTGATTTACACCAACTATTGACTCCAACCTTTAGCTAATAATGTAATCGCGTACTTGATCGTTGTCTTTAGTCTAAATTACCACGTTTCTGAAAATGTGAAATATAGTCTCTTGAAAAGATATTTGTAAACTGCAATTGGTACTCACGTAAAATTGTGAAGATAAGATTAATGGTGCTCACCTGATGACGTTTTAAGGTGAGTCGAATTTTCGATATTTCGTTTCAACCCTAAACCACAAGTCAATTTTGTTATGCATTCCTTTGATAATACTTTTTCTATTTGTTCTATAGGCATGGCGTTCATCGCGATTATAATACGCGATAACAAATAT